ACTATTTTTAAAAAATAATAACTAAAATACTAAGGGACTTTGGATTTTTTACCTAACCAGTTCCTTCCTATTTTCTATATATTTTCACATATATATATATATATATAGTATGTTATGAAACTATCTATCTATCTATCTATATATATATATATATATATATATATATATATATATATATATATAGATATATGAATTTAATTTTGGCAAAATAATATAAAATAATATGTTGCTTCATCTGGCATCAAGTCATTGGCATATTGCCTGATGAAGCCTTCTTGGCAGAAACCATGGTCAGTGTTTCTGATATTTGACATCATACATATATATATATATATATATTGGCCTCTCCTGTTGTTTTTAATGTATAAGGATCAAGCAGGTCAGTTCTTAGAACCAACAGCCAGACTAGCCACACATATTTGATTATTGGGGTGAAGACTTGTACAGAACTTACCGCACTTATTGGAAGAGCCAAATACAGAGAACTGGTGCACAATATGCCTACAAGGTCCCCAAAAACTCCTCTACAGTTTTTGAATTCAGAATTGTCCTTTTAGACTGCTCGCCACCCAAGACTATAGGTACCAGTCTGTCCTACTATTTACCCACAGCGGGAGAAGAAATATATGTATGTATGTATGTATGTAAAATTTCAAATATAACTAAAATATATATTTGTAAAAGGACATGAATAAAGACAAAAAGTAAACTAATCTTAACCAACACATTTTATCCTCTGATGAAATTGATAAAGTCTATTAGAGGATGAAACATGTCAGCTAAATTTTCCCTTTTTTTACACATATATATATATATATATATATATATATATATATATATATATATATATATATATATATATATATATATTGGCAGCATGTCTTCATTGTGACATGTTTTGTTGAATAATTTAGACATGTTCTGTCTACTTATTTTCAATAGGATCCTTTCATATTCATGAATAAGCTTTTTGGTGTCTATTGAAGGACAAGAGAAAATTGCTGTGTTGATACATATTTCTTTTACTTACAAGTACTTTCAACATAGCAATGTCATCATAAGGATATTGTTCATTACAAGATAAATATTGTAATGTTCATTATTATCAGATAACACAACAATTTTGTCTTTAACAATAATGAACACTACAATATTTATCTTGTAATAAATAATAAGTAGACAGAACATGTCTAAATTACATAACAAAACATGTCTAAATTATATAACAAAACATGTCTAAATTACATAACAAAACATGTCAATGTGTGTGTGTGTGTGTGTATATATATATATATATATATCACCTGGCAATGATGCAATACCAACTGAAGTGTACAAGTTTGGAGATAACATAAGCTCTTATATTTCTTAGACATGATTTGGAAACAAGACAAAGTTCCTCAGGAGTTTAAAGATGTTTCCATTACCGATCTATTTAAGCAAAAAGGGAGAAAAAGTATTATGTGACAATCATCAGGGTATATCATTTCTCTCTGTGGCAGGCAAGATACTTGCTCGAGTTATTCTCGGCTGAATAATGACGACTCATCTTGTAGATCATGTTTATCGTAAATCCCAGTTTGGTTTTAAGGATAGAAGAGGAACCATAGACATGATAGATTGCTTGTGACAGGTTGCAGACAAAATGCAGATGAAAAACAGTGAGTTATTTAGTGTTTGTTGACTTAATTAAGGATTTTGACTGTTAATTGCAATGCTTTGTAGCCAGTGCTGAAGAAAATTGGGAATCCTGAGAAGATGCTTAAAATCCAAACTTCTGTTAAGTCAGATGATTATCAGATCTTTTGCATGTGAAGAATGGAAGAAAGCAGGTCCATATAATGGCCCCTGTTTAATTTTCTATTTACTTTTCTCTGATGTTGGAGTATACTTTTGGTGATTGTTGATTGGTTGATTTGTTTAACAGTATATCAACTCCTTATGAGTCATTTAATGCTGAAATTTAATTTTCTTGGGACCTTTGAAGTAATACAAATATGTTATTCTGCTTTCACAATTGTATACATGGTAGATGATACTCAGCTTTTGTGCATATACAGGTTTTTGTGGGAATGATAACTAGAGGCAGTGATATCTGTGTTTTATGTTGCAGATTTTTTTAAGTTATATTTTGGAATACAGTTTAATAGAAGAAATTTGTACTCTGGAGGCACCCATCATCTGACAATCGATCACGCAAGTTAACCTTTCCAGATAGGATAAAATGAGACACATTGATCCCTAAGGAAGATCTTTTAGGAGCTATGATGGATAGGGAATACTGGAGAGGTGTAGTGAGTTCAATCTTGGCTGAGGCCACAGGATGATGATGATGATGGATCATTGTCATGAGAGAGTTCATGTTGGTTGTTTGGTTGATTTTGTTTAGCAACATATCAACACCTCTATGGGTTTTTTAATGCCGAAATCTAAATAATTTGAACATAATTTCATGGCTTCAACTAAATATATTTTGAAAGCAATTGTATGCCTTCAACTACAGATAAAATGTACTACTGGTCATGTATTGTTGGTCATTTTTTATAAAAATGTATTACTGGTATTTTTATTATTAAAATGTATTTTTATACATTTATAAAGTTTTTGTTTGGGAGGGTTCACTATTTGCCCATAGCTGGAGCTCTAACAGCTGCTGCCACCCTGGGTCAGGGTGGACCTGGGAACAACAGCAATTAAGAGGTTGGTTCACACACCTTAAAACCTCTAATCTCCCAATCAGAGGCCTTGCTGCCAGATGCAGTTTGTCATCATACCCAGGACTAGTGATTATAAGAATCGCACTTTGTTTGAATTTAGAACAACTGGTCATTGTTTTTTAATCCCCAAAGATTTAAAGCAAATACTCTTACTAAG